ATGCTCATACGGCGGCAGTCAAGAGACGCAGTGTAATTCCCACGTATGTGATGTGGATCTGCTGTACGCACTGCATGCCATCTATTGACGAATAGCATTTTTTCGAATTTTTGACTTAATACTTAATACTTAAACTTTTTTTAATTTTTTTCTCAGCCAGAACCATCTCCCAGACGTGGTGATTGGTGATTTTTATTGGTTTGTGTATTGATTTTTATTGGTGATTGGTGATTCTGAATATGCTCACACGGCGGCAGTCAAGAGACGCAGTGTAATTCCCACGTATGTGATGTGGATCTGCTGTACGCACTGCGCCATCTATTGACGAATAGCATTTTTTCGAATTTTTGACTTAATACTTAATACTTAAACTTTTTTTAATTTTTTTCTCAGCCAGAACCATCTCCCAGACGTGGTGATTCTGAATATATCTTCAGTTAGCGCGATTGATTGACAAATCACGGAGAAAAGCGAGCTCAAACAAACACACACACACACACACAAGATTAGCCAAATTATAGTATAGATAGATACATATAATTACATGTATGTGTTTATATATATAGCTAAGGTTAGTGCTAAGAGCCATAGTCAAACATCTTAGCCCGTATATAACATTTGTAAAAAAAAGAGAAACAAAAAACAAATTAAATAATATGTTTAAGCTTTTTTTTTTATACCAGTTAATATAGAAAGAGTATTTATATCCTATATGTGCTTTTCAGCCAGTGCATGATTGCCATTTATCTCATTACAGTTAGTTATGCTATGGTATTATTATAGACTATTATATAATACTATGTATTAGAGCTGATATCATAAGGTTTAATACAAATATGACAAATCTTCTTACATTTCAACATGAAATTGTACCTGCCTGTAGTTGGTGCTGTTTCATTGCCTTAATTCATTAAAGCTAATTCATCAAAAAGACAGCAAAGAATCATTATATTTTCCAAATCGAATGTTACAACTTACCTTTACACTTTGGTCACTAGAACATGTGGCCATCCGACGTCCATGAAAATCATATGCCACATCATGTATGAGATCTTTGTGATCGGCTGATATACTTCTCGCAACAAACATCACGGCTTCTATGTGGTTTTCAGTGTATAAGAATATCTGAAAGTTTACATACACATTAACATAGATCACAACACCCCTACCAACAACAACAAATTGAACAACAACAACAACAACAACAAAATAGCAGGCAGCAATGTACTTTTCTGTAACGCTTGAATCTCCATTTGATCTACCAATTTGATAATCTAATTTATTGGGGGTTAGTAACAATAATTACTACGAGTATCTTAAATACATTTTAAAGTAACAAATTTACATCAATCAATGGTTATATTTTACTAAATATTATTGTTTTGCAAATACTAAGCCTACATGAGTAAAAATATCAGGAGAGAAATGAAAGTGTCAATGACACTGTAGCTCACCCCAAAAAAGGTCACAAATGAGTGAGTGAGAAGAAGTCAGTTTTAATTGAGCAACCATCGACGTACATTATAGAAACGAAGAATATATATGGGGGTGGGGAACACCCATTATATACTCTTGATAATTATATGTGTAATTTTTTATGTAAAAATAATAAATAATATTATA